GCAGAAGGGCACAAGGATTCATCGCTTCTCCAGTCAGTGGGGATACGGAAATACCCTTACCGACGCTGATCGAATGCGATCAAATACCCAACCATAGGGATGAGATTCCTACCCCAGAAGCTGCAGTTCACCAACCTCACCTAAGGCACCTAGCCAACGTTATCCCACCTATGGACATCAACGCCGAGATTCTACTCCTGCTCGGCAGAGACAATCTAAGGGTACACAAGGTGCGTCAACAGTGTAATGGTCCTGACTATGCACCATACGCCCAGAGACTGGACTTGGGATGGGTAATCATAGGAAATGTATGCTTAGATCAACCAGGAATTGACTCTTTCAAAACGTACGTGCGTGCAGATGGACGCACAACTTGCATTAAGCCGTGTCCTCATCACTATGAGGTGAAGGAGAAGTCTCCAGGCCTCATACAACCACCTGACGTCATTACTCCCCTCTTTGCCGACAACTTGGGGAGATCAGTCTTTCATACAACCAAGGACGACGATAAAGTAGCCTTGTCAGTAGAGGACAGAGAATTTGTCAAGATAATGGACAGTGAGTTCTTTAAAGACGAAACCAATCACTGGGTTTTCCATTACCCTTCCGAGCTACCAGGGTAAGACTCCCGAACAACCGGGAACAAGCTCTGTCTAGATTTAACTCTCTTCAGCGTACCATGAACAGCAAGCCTGAAATGAGAGAACACATTGTTGCCTTTATGGATAAAATATTCCGTAACAACCATGCAGAACCAGCTCCATCCTTAAGGAAGAACGACGAGTGCTGGTACTTGCCTTCATTCGGAGTATATCATCATCCACGAAAACCTAATCAAATTAGGGTTGACTTTGATTCAAGCGCCAAACATCAAGGTGTATCTCTTAACGATATTCTTCTCACAGGTCCTAATCTGACTAATAACCTAGTCGGAGTGCTGATGAGATTCAGGAAAGAGCTTGTCGCCATCACTGCTGACATTGAACATATGTTCCATTGTTTTGTAGTCCGAGAGGACCACCGGAATTTCCTCAGGTTTCTGTGGTACAAGGACAATGACACCAACGCAGAGATGATGGAGTATCGTATGAGGGTACATGTGTTTGGAAACAGCCCTTCACCAGCCGTAGTGACTTACGGGCTTCGGAGAACTGCAATAGAGGGGGAATCTGAATACGGTACAGATGCCAAAGACTTTGTGGAAAAAGACTTCTACGTGGATGATGGGCTCAAATCGCTACCAACTGAAGAAGCGGCTATCGATCTGCTCAAAAGGACTCAAAATATGTTGTACCAAGCTAACCTTAGACTACACAAAATTGCTTCAAACAGCCTAACCGTAATGAGAGCCTTCGAGCGAGGTGATCATGCACCTGGATTCAAAGACATTAACCTGGGACTGGACAGTCCACCTGTGCAGAGGAGCTTGGGCCTCAGATGCGATCTCTCGGCTGACTCCTTTGGTTTTCAAATAAGTTGTGCAGACAAGCCATTCACAAAACGTGGTGTCCTATCAGTGGTAAACAGCCTATTTGATCCGCTGGGATTTGTAGCGCCCATCGTCATACAAGGTAAATCCCTACTGAGACAACTTTCTGAAACCATCAAGGATTGGGATACCCCACTTCCCTCCGATAAAGAGCAAAAATGGGAAGCCTGGAAGCGATCCTTGTGTGCTTTGGATGAGATCCACATCCCAAGATGCTATATTAAAACCTCACTTACTTCTAGCGTAAAGAAGGAACTCCACGTGTTCTCGGACGCCTCCACAGAGGCCATAGCAGCGGTCGCCTATCTGAAGGTCACAGAACCCAACAAGCAAAATCACGTTGGATTCGTCTTTGGTAAGGCTAAGTTAGCCCCCAAGCCTGATCATACTATTCCCAGACTTGAACTCTGTGGGACTGTGTTAGCAGTGGAGATTGCAGACTTCATACAAGAAGAACTAGGTGTCAACATAGATGAAGTTCAGTATTACACGGACAGTAAGGTCGTATTAGGTTACATCTACAATCAGACGAGACGATTTTATGTTTACGTCAGTAACCGCATAGAGAGAATCAGGAGGTCCTCCAAACCTGAACAATGGTACTATGTACCATCCGAACTTAATCCAGCAGATCATGCCACTAGACCTATGTCTGTAGGTTCCTTTACTAACTCTACTTGGCTTACAGGTCCGGAGTTTCTGCTAAAACAGGCGGACGATTGTGTACAGGAAGTTTTCAGCATCCAGGATCCGGATAATGATCCAGAAATCCGCGCTGAAGTCAGTGTATTGGTCACTGGAACAAAGCAAATCTCCAGCCTCGGTAGCCAGCGCTTTGAACATTTCTCCAGTTGGATGAGACTCGTCAGGACTATCGCAAGGTTAGTGCACATTGCGGAATGTTATCACAATACTCACAAAGATAAGGATTGTCACGGTTGGCACGTCTGCCATAAACCCTTCTCTGCGGAGAACATCTCTCATAGTGAGTCCCTCATAATACGTCACGTCCAACAAGAGGAATTCAATGTAGAATGGAAGTGCTTATACAACAAACAGCAGATTCCAATAAAAAGCCCTCTTGCCAACTTAAATCCAGTTATTGACAGTTTTGGCTTGCTCAGAGTTGGTGGTCGTTTGAATCAAGCCCACCTAAGAGTTGCAGAACAAAATCCTCTCATCATTCCCAGCAAACACCATATCACCGTCTTGCTGATCCGACACTACCACAAAAAGACTGAACACCAGGGCAGGCAAATCACTGAGGGCAGGTTACGGTCTGCTGGCCTTTGGATTATAGGTATGAAAAGACGTGTGGCCCCAAGTACTGCATGACTGTGTTCACTGTCGCAAAGCTAGAGGAAAACAACTACACACAACAAATGGCTGATTTGCCTGCGGACAGACTATGTACAGAGCCCCCTTTCACCTACGTTGGCCTAGACGTCTTCGGGCCATGGATGGTGTCCGCACGCAGGACCCGTGGCGGTCACGCAAACAGTAAGCGTTGGGCTGTACTATTTACTTGCATGAGTGTGCGAGCCGTTCACTTAGAGGTCATAGAATCCATGGACACATCCAGCCTTATTAATGCCTTAAGACGGTTCTTTGCAATCAGAGGACCAGTGAAACAGTTGAGGTCTGACCGTGGAAGCAACTTCATTGGAGCCTGTAGAGAACTGAACATAGACACCAAATCCATTCAAGATCACTTGGCGGAAAAGGGTTGCACCTGGATTTTCAATCCTCCTCATAGTTCCCACATGGGGGGCTCCTGGGAGAGAATGATCGGCATCTCATGCAACATCTTGAATTCTATGTTGATGGATGTAAACTCTTCAAGACTCACACATGAGACTCTAGTCACCCTTCTCGCTGAAGTTTCAGCCATCATCAATTCTAGACCCCTCGTGCCAGTATCTATGGATCCTGAAACACCAGCCGTACTGACTCCAGCTATCCTACTTACCCAAAAAACTGAGATTACGCTATTACCTAGTGGAGAATTTACTCATGCGAATATCTACCAAAAACACTGGAAACGTGTACAATACCTAGCTGATTACTTCTGGAACAGGTGGCGAAAGGAGTATCTCAATATTCTTCAAGGAAGAAGAAAGTGGCAACACCACAAACCGAACCTAAAAGAAGGTGACCTCGTGTTAATGAAGGAGCAACATACCGTACGGATTGACTGGCCTATGGGACTAATTACAAAGGTTCTTCCTAGCAAGGATGGCAAGGTCCGTAAAGTGGAGTTGAAGATCTTCAGAAAGGGTGAGCTTAAAATATTCGCAAGGCCAATTAATGAACTCATTTTGATACTACCCATCGAGAACATTCCTGCTGGGTGAACTCTACTGAACTTGAACTTAGTGGTTCTTCTCTATTCCAACTCGGAATCTACTATATTGTTATGTTTATTGCATTCTAACATGTTCTTTGTTACAGGTTGTTTTATATTTTTTGGACATTCGTCATAGTGAAATCCCTTATGGAATTTCAGACGGGGAGTGTGCTGTTCCCCTCATATTTGTTATTTAACTGTGCATTGTATTACCAATTCTTATTTCACCATGTTGTTTCTATGTCTTGATCTGTTGCTGCCATCTGCTGGCCAGAATTTGCATGCTGCATGCCTTTGTTATAGCTAGTAAGTTTTTTCTCTGCTGGGCGTGGTTTTAGGCAAGCCTTGGTTCTGGTCACTTCCTGCAGCCATTTTATCTGCTATATAGCTGTGTGACAGGACATTCATTACCCTGGGCTTGTGAAGGCATCAGTTTTTGACCAGCAGTTAGCCTCAGGAAAGATATCACAGGACAGCATGAATACCTCTACTACCTTACAGTATTGTATCAGTGTTTGTCGCTGTATTTTGGACCAAATAAACCCACGCTGATTTCATTCCCGTGTATACGTTTGGATCCATCTAACCTGAACATCTGCCGGTCCGGTCTGCTCCACTGCTTGGATACGAAGGTAGGAAGTTACACAGCCATTATTAGATATACCTTCATTCGCCTTCATGTGGGGACAGAACAGGAACCGATCCTCTGTATGGTTCTCTCTGCAGCAGCTGAAAGCCAGCGGGAGGGAGAAGAAGCATTCTTTCAGCTGCTGCACAGAAAGCCAAACGGGATCGGTTCCAGTAATTCTCCCCCCACCATACTGATCACCCTCCCTGCCCACATCAAATTCGCCCAGCTGCCTGGGCCCCCCTGCTGGCCTCGGCCCCATACAGGAGGACTGGTGGTGCCCCCTTATCCACGGCCCTTACAGGGTGACAACACAGGAGAACAACTGGGAGATTTCTGTCACTAACATTCACAGAGCTGTTATTCATGTATGTGATGAAAATAAAAGGTCTGCCTTCTTATACGCTATGCATACTGGAAAAGAGAGATCTGCCTGCCATAGTGTCTGATTCTGTGCAGGTGGGACCCACCTATATGTGTTCCTGTTACATTCTCCATGATGAAAAAAACAGCATGGCTGACGAAAACCCCTCATAATGAACACAGCAGGTGTGCAGACTCGGGAGCTCAGCATAGGGATGGTGGGAACCCCTCATAATGGGCACAGCAGGTGTACAGACCCGGGAACTCGGCACAGGGATGATGAGAACCCCTCATAATGGGCACAGTGGGTGTACAGACCCGGGAACTCAGCACAGGGATGGTGGGAACCCCTCATAATGGGCACAGCAGGTGTGCAAATAAGGGAATTGCAGGAATTGTACTAGTCCTCATAGCTGGCCCAGGAGGTGTGCAGATTCAGCGGCTTGGTACAGGGATGGTGGGAACCCCTCATAATAAGTACAGCAGGTGTGCAGTTTTGGGAACCCAGCTCTGAAATGGTGGGAAGCCCACACAGCAAGCTTTGCATGCCCAAGAAATCAGCACAGAGATCTGAACAATAGCATACCAATACCATTTACAGAGAGCTTAGTATAGATGGTAGCTGTTCAACTGCAGATCTACATTCCCTGGGATAAATGATCAAACACAATTCTTTCTGAGAATAGGAAAGTTCAGATATCCTTCATTAACCTTTGTATCCATTGCGTCATCTCCCTCCATTATAATCATCCAGAAATAGATCCATATGATTTCCTATGACTAGCAGTTTCTTAAAGTGTTACTAAACCCCAGATCCTGCATTCACTATATCTGGTCTCCCTGGACCCTGCATTCACTATATCTGGTCTCCCCGGACCCCGCATTCACCATATCTGGTCTCTCCGGACCCTGCATTCACTATATCCGCTCTCCCCGGACCCTGCATTCACTATATCCGCTCTCCCCGGACCCTGCATTCACTATATCCGCTCTCCCCGGACCCTGCATTCACTATATCCGCTCTCCCCGGACCCTGCATTCACTATATCCGCTCTCCCCGGACCCTGCATTCACTATATTCGCTCTCCCCGGACCCTGCATTCACCATATCTGGTCTCCCCGGACCCTGCATTCACCATATCTGGTCTCCCCAGACCCTGCATTCACTATATCTGGTCTCCCTGGACCCTGCATTCACTATATCTGGTCTCCCCGGACCCCGCATTCACCATATCTGGTCTCTCCGGACCCTGCATTCACTATATCCGCTCTCCCCGGACCCTGCATTCACTATATCCGCTCTCCCCGGACCCTGCATTCACTATATTTGCTCTCCCCGGACCCTGCATTCACTATATTTGCTCTCCCCGGACCCTGCATTCACTATATTTGCTCTCCCCGGACCCTGCATTCACCATATCTGGTCTCCCCGGACCCTGCATTCACCATATCTGGTCTCCCCGGACCCTGCATTCACCATATCTGGTCTCCCCGGACCCTGCATTCACCATATCTGGTCTCCCCGGACCCTGCATTCACCATATCTGGTCTCCCTGGACCCTGCATTCACCATATCTGGTCTCCCCGGACCCTGCATTCACCATATCTGGTCTCCCCGGACCCTGCATTCACCATATCTGGTCTCCCCGGACCCTGCATTCACCATATCTGGTCTCCCCGGACCCTGCATTCACCATATCTGGTCTCCCCGGACCCTGCATTCACCATATCTGGTCTCCCCGGACCCTGCATTCACCATATCTGGTCTCCCCGGACCCTGCATTCACTATATCTGGTCTCCCCGGACCCTGCATTCACTATATCTGGTCTCCCCGGACCCTGCATTCACTATATCTGGTCTCCCCGGACCCTGCTTTCACCATATCTGGTCCCCCCGGACCCTGCATTCACTATATCTGGTCTCCCAGGACCCTGCATTCACTATATCCGCTCTCCCCGGACCCTGCATTCACTATATCCTCTCCCCGGACCCTGCATTCACTATATCCGCTCTCCCCGGACCCTGCATTCACTATATCCGGTCTCCCGGGAACCCTGCATTCACTATATCTGGTCTCCCCGGACCCTGCATTCACTATATCTGGTCTCCCCGGACCCTGCATTCACTATATCTGGTCTCCCCGGACCCCGCATTCACCATATCTGGTCTCCCCGGACCCCGCATTCACCATATCTGGTCTCTCCGGACCCTGCATTCACTATATCCGCTCTCCCCGGACCCTGCATTCACTATATCCGCTCTCCCCGGACCCTGCATTCACTATATCCGCTCTCCCCGGACCCTGCATTCACTATATCCGCTCTCCCCGGACCCTGCATTCACTATATCCGCTCTCCCCGGACCCTGCATTCACTATATTCGCTCTCCCCGGACCCTGCATTCACCATATCTGGTCTCCCCGGACCCTGCATTCACCATATCTGGTCTCCCCGGACCCTGCATTCACTATATCTGGTCTCCCTGGACCCTGCATTCACTATATCTGGTCTCCCCGGACCCCGCATTCACCATATCTGGTCTCTCCGGACCCTGCATTCACTATATCCGCTCTCCCCGGACCCTGCATTCACTATATCCGCTCTCCCCGGACCCTGCATTCACTATATCCCGCTCTCCCCGGACCCTGCATTCACTATATTTGCTCTCCCCGGACCCTGCATTCACTATATTTGCTCTCCCCGGACCCTGCATTCACTATATTTGCTCTCCCCGGACCCTGCATTCACTATATTTGCTCTCCCCGGACCCTGCATTCACCATATCTGGTCTCCCCCCGGACCCTGCATTCACCATATCTGGTCTCCCCGGACCCTGCATTCACCATATCTGGTCTCCCCGGACCCTGCATTCACCATATCTGGTCTCCCCGGACCCTGCATTCACCATATCTGGTCTCCCCGGACCCTGCATTCACCATATCTGGTCTCCCCGGACCCTGCATTCACCATATCTGGTCTCCCCCGGACCCTGCATTCACCATATCTGGTCTCCCCGGACCCTGCATTCACCATATCTGGTCTCCCCGGACCCTGCATTCACCATATCTGGTCTCCCCGGACCCTGCATTCACCATATCTGGTCTCCCCGGACCCTGCATTCACCATATCTGGTCTCCCCGGACCCTGCATTCACCATATCTGGTCTCCCCGGACCCTGCATTCACCATATCTGGTCTCCCCGGACCCTGCATTCACCATATCTGGTCTCCCCGGACCCTGCATTCACCATATCTGGTCTCCCCGGACCCTGCATTCACCATATCTGGTCTCCCCGGACCCTGCATTCACCATATCTGGTCTCCCCGGACCCTGCATTCACTATATCCGCTCTCCCCGGACCCTGCTTTCACCATATCCGGTCCCCCCGGACCCTGCTTTCACCATATCTGGTCCCCCCGGACCCTGCATTCACTATATCTGGTCTCCCAGGACCCTGCATTCACTATATCCGCTCTCCCCGGACCCTGCATTCACTATATCCGCTCTCCCCGGACCCTGCATTCACTATATCCGCTCTCCCCGGACCCTGCATTCACTATATCCGGTCTCCCCGGACCCTGCATTCACTATATCCGGTCTCCCCCGGACCCTGCATTCACTATATCCGGTCTCCCCCCCGGACCCTGCATTCACTATATCCGGTCTCCCCGGACCCTGCATTCACTATATCCGGTCTCCCCGGACCCTGCATTCACTATATCTGGTCTCCCCGGACCCTGCATTCACTATATCTGGTCTCCCCGGACCCTGCATTCACTATATCTGGTCTCCCCGGACCCTGCATTCACTATATCCGCTCTCCCCGGACCCTGCATTCACTATATCTGATTTCCCCGGACCCTGCATTCATTATATCCGCTCTCCCCGGACCCTGCATTCACTATATCTGGTCTCCCCGGACCCTGCATTCACTATATCTGGTCTCCCCAGACCCTGCATTCACCATATCTGGTCTACCTGGACCCTGCATTCACTATATCCAGTCTCCCCGGACCCTGCATTCACTATATCTGGTCTCCCCCGGACCCTGCATTCACTATATCTGATCTCCCTGGACCCTGCTTTCACCATATCTGGTCCCCCCGACCCTGCATTCACTATATCTGGTCTCCCAGGACCCTGCATTCACTATATCCGCTCTCCCCGGACCCTGCATTCACTATATCCGCTCTCCCCGGACCCTGCATTCACTATATCCGGTCTCCCCGGACCCTGCATTCACTATATCCGCTCTCCCCGGACCCTGCATTCACTATATCCGGTCTCCCGGGAACCCTGCATTCACTATATCTGGTCTCCCCGGACCCTGCATTCACTATATCTGGTCTCCCCGGACCCTGCATTCACTATATCTGGTCTCCCCGGACCCCGCATTCACCATATCTGGTCTCCCCGGACCCCGCATTCACCATATCTGGTCTCTCCGGACCCCTGCATTCACTATATCCGCTCTCCCCGGACCCTGCATTCACTATATCCGCTCTCCCCGGACCCTGCATTCACTATATCCGCTCTCCCCGGACCCTGCATTCACTATATCCGCTCTCCCCGGACCCTGCATTCACTATATCCGCTCTCCCCGGACCCTGCATTCACTATATCCGCTCTCCCCCCGGACCCTGCATTCACTATATCCGCTCTCCCCGACCCTGCATTCACTATATCCGCTCTCCCCCCGACCCTGCATTCACTATATCCGCTCTCCCCGGACCCTGCATTCACTATATTCGCTCTCCCCGGACCCTGCATTCACCATATCTGGTCTCCCCAGACCCTGCATTCACCATATCTGGTCTCCCCAGACCCTGCATTCACTATATCTGGTCTCCCTGGACCCTGCATTCACTATATCTGGTCTCCCCGGACCCCGCATTCACCATATCTGGTCTCTCCGGACCCTGCATTCACTATATCGCTCTCCCGGACCCTGCATTCACTATATCCGCTCTCCCCGGACCCTGCATTCACTATATCCGCTCTCCCCGGACCCTGCATTCACTATATTTGCTCTCCCCGGACCCTGCATTCACTATATTTGCTCTCCCCGGACCCTGCATTCACCATATCTGGTCTCCCCGGACCCTGCATTCACCATATCTGGTCTCCCCGGACCCTGCATTCACCATATCTGGTCTCCCCGGACCCTGCATTCACCATATCTGGTCTCCCCGGACCCTGCATTCACCATATCTGGTCTCCCCGGACCCTGCATTCACCATATCTGGTCTCCCCGGACCCTGCATTCACCATATCTGGTCTCCCCGGACCCTGCATTCACCATATCTGGTCTCCCCGGACCCTGCATTCACCATATCTGGTCTCCCCGGACCCTGCATTCACCATATCTGGTCTCCCCGGACCCTGCATTCACCATATCTGGTCTCCCCGGACCCTGCATTCACCATATCTGGTCTCCCCGGACCCTGCATTCACCATATCTGGTCTCCCCGGACCCTGCATTCACCATATCTGGTCTCCCCGGACCCTGCATTCACCATATCTGGTCTCCCCGGACCCTGCATTCACCATATCTGGTCTCCCCGGACCCTGCATTCACCATATCTGGTCTCCCCGGACCCTGCATTCACCATATCTGGTCTCCCCGGACCCTGCATTCACTATATCCGCTCTCCCCGGACCCTGCTTTCACCATATATCGGTCCCCCCGGACCCTGCTTTCACCATATCTGGTCCCCCCGGACCCTGCATTCACTATATCTGGTCTCCCAGGACCCTGCATTCACTATATCCGCTCTCCCCGGACCCTGCATTCACTATATCCGCTCTCCCCGGACCCTGCATTCACTATATCCGCTCTCCCCGACCCTGCATTCACTATATCCGCTCTCCCCGGACCCTGCATTCACTATATCCGCTCTCCCCGGACCCTGCATTCACTATATCCGCTCTCCCCGGACCCTGCATTCACTATATCCGGTCTCCCCGGACCCTGCATTCACTATATCCGGTCTCCCCGGACCCTGCATTCACTATATCCGGTCTCCCCGGACCCTGCATTCACTATATCTGGTCTCCCCGGACCCTGCATTCACTATATCTGGTCTCCCCGGACCCTGCATTCACTATATCTGGTCTCCCCGGACCCTGCATTCACTATATCCGCTCTCCCCGGACCCTGCATTCACTATATCTGATTTCCCCGGACCCTGCATTCATTATATCCGCTCTCCCCGGACCCTGCATTCACTATATCTGGTCTCCCCGGACCCTGCATTCACTATATCTGGTCTCCCCAGACCCTGCATTCACCATATCTGGTCTACCTGGACCCTGCATTCACTATATCCGGTCTCCCCGGACCCTGCATTCACTATATCTGGTCTCCCCGGACCCTGCATTCACTATATCTGGTCTCCCCGGACCCTGCATTCACTATATCTGGTCTCCCCGGACCCTGCATTCACTATATCTGGTCTCCCCAGACCCTGCATTCACTATATCTGGTCTCCCCAGACCCTGCATTCACTATATCCGCTCTCCCCTGACCCTGCATTCACTATATCCGGTTTCCCCAGACCCTGAATTCATTATATCTGCTCTCCCCGGACCCTGCATTCATTATATCTGCTCTCCCTGGACCCTCCATTCACTATATCTGGCCATGCTCAGTTTAGTGTGTATTGCTAGAGAGTTTTTTTTTTTTTGGGGGGGGGTGCATGTTATCAGCACAGGGCCAATCGGCACTGTCCAGACAGAAGGTCAGGGATTATGCAGCCTCATAGGACAGCCAGAGGAAAATTCCTCCTACAAGTTTTAACCAGTATTCTGCTGGACACTGATAGAAGTCACAAGACTGCTATATACTGCTGATGAGAAAAGGTATTTAGCAGTTTATATTTACTACAATATTTGTATTTCCATGTTCTGTGTACTGTGGGAGACTATATAGGGTGAATGCAGGGTCCGGGGATTAGTAATACGTTAAGGGTGTGGATATATA